TCGGTCGAAGGCCTCCTGAATGTCCATGTATATGGCAGAGCAGTACAAATTGTTCTCGTAGGTGGATAGGATGAACTTTGTAACTCTCCCCAATTGGTGTTCAGCCGCGTGCACCTGTCTGAAGCCGAACTGATGGTTTGGAATAGCCTCAACAAATCCATCAGCTTCCATCATCCTGGTCAGAATGAGACGCTCAAACAGTTTGGACAGACCCGAAAGCAGACTGATAGGGCGATAAGATGCCAACTTATCGGCGGGTTTTCCTGGCTTGGGGATCATGCTAACAGCTGCGTGCTTCCATCTGTTAGGAAAACAACCAATCCTGAGGGAGCTGTTGCATATTAGCGCGAAGTATAACAGAGCAGACTTAGGTAGAGCCTTTATTGTCCGGTTGTCGATCCTGTCCATTCCTGGGGCCTTTTTCAGCTTCAATACCTTGACCTGTGCCTCAATCTCCGGAAGAGTGATCGCCCTGAATCTCAAATTGGGACCAGGGGATCCAAACTCTTCAAGAGACTCCTCGATGACTCGTATATCGGCTGCCGCGTTGGTCAGAATAGGCTTGAATCTCTGCTCAAGATGCCTCGCAAAGGACTCTGCCTTCTCCTCCGTGCTCTTACACCAGGGATCATCAGCGTTGTCTTCTCCATCGGCGCAAAACTTTCGGACAGGCAAGTTGGCTGCTGGCTGCCGCTTCAATCCATTGGTCAATCTCCACAGCTTTGCCATGCTGTAGCGATCGGTGGGATCGATTGAACCAATTATTGCGTCCGCGCGTCTGGCTTTGTCCGCTTCCAGCTCCTTGTGGATCCTGTTGCCAAGCATATTGAACAGCTGTCGCACTGCCGGGTCCTGGTTCCGCTTCAGCATATTCCTCAGGCGCCTCTTGGTGGCAATCATCAGCCGAATTCGATTGCTGACCTGGTACTCAGCTTGGACTCTAGGTCGGACGGGCCTCCTCAGACTGCTTGTGGCATGTTCAGCTGCCTCCAACACGTTCCTCTCCAGAATGCTAGCTGCGTCATCAACATCCTCTGCTGACCTGAGCTCAGTGTTTAGATGGATGTGCGAGTCCAGCCACGATTGGAACCTCGAAATGCTGGCCCCTGGGGGCAAGAGGCGTCTCCTGTTCACCGCCTCCGCTGGAGACATGCTAAACTCGATCACCATTGGGAGATGATCGGAAGAGAGGTCATTCAGATGGGAGATATGCAGCAACTCGTCCCTCACGCCCTTGTAGACCGCGAAGTCGATTGCAGATGGTGTATGCCGAGTGTTATATGGGTAGTGGGTTGGAGATCCAGTAGCCAGGATGTTGCAGCTACTTTCCTGAACGGCCCTGAGCAGCTTTCCACCTCTTCTACACGCCCTTGCGTTTCCCCACCACGAATTCTTCGCGTTCCAATCGCCAGCAGCAACAAATCTCGGCCCCAACTGACCAAACAATGCCAAGAAGTCCTCCTCAGTCCATTCCTGCATTGGGGGGCAGTAAATGGAAGAAACCACCAGTCGGCCACCATCAGGCAGGGTCAGGGTAGCGGATGCACATTGAATGTGGTCCGTAGCTATATTCGGCAGGGCAATATGAAGGATTCCAGCTCTGATTAAGAGCAGGGATCCCCCACGACCAGTCCCAGATGGGTGATTGGCACCGTAAGTACAGTATCCATTGACGCTGAAGGTCTCTGAGTTTTTAAAATGAGACTCAGAGACCATCAGAACGTCAACTTCGTGTCTGCATGCAAATGCCGCAAGTTCGGCTGTCTTCCCTCGGAGTCCCGAGGCGTTCCAAAATACAATCTTTAGATTGCAGTGGTGGCGGGTAGAGTTACTGGGATTATTATTAAACATTTCTGGCATAGGAGTTAGCCTGAATGCTGGCATATAGACAATCTGTTAATTTAGTCATTTGTTCAATTAATATATCCATTTTTCCTTCCAGTTTTTGAGTAGATTCAGCAGCGGCGGCCGCATGCTGGATCCGCTCCTGAGTCAGCAGGGTGATGAGGTAGTCCAGTTTCTGGCTGAGCTCATCGCTAGGACGGACACTCTGACTGCTCACCACGGGCTGGTATCCAGTTGTGGCCGCTGTTGGTGGCACCGAATGCCAAACTTGCCTCCCAGGAAGAGGCTGGGAATGACTCGCTGGTTGCCGTGTGCGGAGTGCATCGGCATAACTGCTCGTTTGAGCTGGAGGAGCAGGAGCTCTTGCGCCAGAGCGCGCTCGCCGGCGGCTAGGTTGCTGCAGTGCTGGAAATCCCTGCTGGTTAATGACGGGTGGCTGGCGGGGACGCCGCAAACCCTGAGTGGCGGGTAAGGTAGGCATCGAAAGTTTATTTAGCATCTTGTTGGTCTGATCTAACCCATTTCTTCTTTTATTGCAGTACTCCTTATACTTCACACAGCCACGGTAGCTGGCAACATGGGGACCTTCACAATTTGCGCATTTCGGCACCTCCTCCCTCTTCTTGGGGCAGTCCTTGGGGTCATGCTTATCGCCGCACTTCAAACAAATAACTGCTCGGTTGCAGTAATTCTTCGAGTGCCCGAACATCTGACACTTATGGCACTGGGGAACTCCTGGCGCGCGTATGGGCTTCTCCACCTTGACCCGTTGGCTGCAGATTGCCGTCAGCTCGTAGATACTATTGTTAATATCCTGAGGCTCTAGCTCAACCTCGAATAAGTCCAGTGGCTCCTTAGTAAATCTCTTAAGTATATTGGCAATATGCCTCACCTTATATCCGAGTCTACCAAGCTGTTCACGCACCCAATCTGTGGGTGTGGAGCGGTGCAGGTGGCGTATAACAATACGCATTCCCCTCTCGCTCTTCAGGCGAAACGTGTGGTGTTCAACACCTTGTCCCTCATTTAGGAGCCGGATCAGGGCCCTATGTCCATCGATTGTGTGGCACATTACTTTCAAAGACCTATTAGCAGCCGGCCTGGTATCATATGTACCAGCGCCAATGGCATTATCGAAGCACTGTAGCAGGGGAAAGATGTCTATAACATTAGGAATGTAAATAGGGGCTGGCCGCACAATTTTGGCGTCAGCAGTAGCAGCCGCATTGTTAGCGTGCGCAGTAGTAGGGGCAGGCGGGGGGGTAGTCTGAGAAGTAGAGGGCCTGTTTGTGGGAACAGGTTCCTCGGCTTCTGTCTCTCCCTCGCTGCAGTCAGCATCCACATCCATATCAGCATCAGAGAGAATGTTATAATAGTTTGATATACTCATCTGGTTTGGGTCCCGCTTCTCCTTCGAGGATACCATCCGCTTGACCATCTTGGCCGACACCTTTGTGATAGGCGAGGCCAGGGTGGTCGTCCGCTTCTTGTTACGGGCCTCCGACTCGGCCTTCAGCATGGCCATCACCTTCTTCTCCTTCGCAAGTTTTTCCCGCTGTTCCTTGAGTATCTCGTGCAGAGTCATCTGGCTCGGCACGGATGCTGCAAGGGCAGTAGGATTGGTAGCGACAGCAGTGGCAGAGCTGCCAGGGGCACAGGTAGCAGTAGAGGCAGCAGCAGCACGGGCAGCACCAGTAGAAACTGGCGTGCGTTGAGCAGCACCTGCACGAGCAGCACTAGGAACTGTAGATATTGAAGGGCGTTTGGCTGTGGCGGCAGCTACACGAGTAGGGGCGGTGGCTTTAGCAGCAGCACCAGGAATGGCAGTGGCTTTTTTTTTTTTTTTTCGATGTAATTAGATGCGCGTGCACGCCTACGATGCGCACACTCGCCCGCCAGCTTTGCTACTGGCGGAGTTTATTTCCAGCTTTTCTTATTACCATAACTTCGGCAATTTACATTTAAGCTTAACTAACAACAATAATGTTCTTTTGAATTTTTGCGGGCAATTGACATTAACATTACATTAACATTAACATTAACATCTAGAGACATGTTTACATTCTATTAGTATTACAGTCTGGTAGCCCTATTTTGACATTCGCAATAATTGACGTACATTTATACAAACAAAGAGATAAGTATTGAACAAATTGCAACATTAATGACATTTATAGACTAATTTAATTCTATTTATTTTCTATTTCAGGTACTGGAGGATCATCGTCGTCGTCTGGAGTGGTGTGGATGGCACAGGGCGCATCCGCCTCAGCGCTGGATGTGCACGTGTATGTGATGCAGCAGATCACGCATCTGCGGCATCAGAATTGGCAGAGGCTGGATCCAGGAGTTGGCGTGAATGGAGATGGGGTTTGATGAGCGACTCTGGTCCGGCCGCCCACGTTGCTTCTGCCTGGAGATCTGGGGATTGACACTGGTCCGGCCAATCGGGGTACGTTGGCCAGTGGAAATGGCCGCAGTGGAGATGGCCGCAAATGAGTGCGGATTGGCTGCATCCGAGTGGCTCTGGTCCGGCCACCCAGGATGCACTGTCGATGTAGATGGGGATGGAGATGGCGCGCTGGCCATTGTCGTCTGTGTTGGCTGGCCTCGTCGTTGGATTGCTGCTGCTGCTGTTTTGTGATGATGATGACGTGACGTCCGGCCATCGGTTGACGGCAGCGCAATCGGAGGGGCGTCCAAATTGGGCCCAACTTGCAACAAAATGTTGCGGTTGGTGGCGAGGCAGGTACTGGAGAGGCTGATCTGTGAGTGTATTGACAGGTAAGTGTGATTAGTAGAAGTATTGGCTATTTTGTGTTGATGCGTGAATTGATGTTTTTTCTTCTTTTTAGCGGCAGTCTGGATGTTGATGGCGACGACGATAGGGCCTTCAAATTTCGCCCATTTGGCAGGAATTTGATGGCGAAATTGGTGTGGCAACTGCTGGAGAGGCAGCTCTACCGGAGGCGTGGCAGGTGCGTATGTTTAGTGTGAGTGATTGGACCATTTTGTGTTGATGTGTGTATTGATGTTTTTTCTCCTTTTAGCGGCAGCCTGTGGTCTGGATGTTGATGGCGACGGCGATAGGGGCCTCAATTTCGCCCATTTTGCAGGAATTGGATGGCGAATTTGGTGTGGCAACTGCTGGATTTTTTTTTTTGATGTGAAAACTTGGTCAGTTCACTTAGTGTGACCTGACGCAATCTTTATTAATATTCTTATTACTATCTAGCAACATATAACATTATATCTGACAACATTACAAGTTTTGGCAACATAATTACATAAATATCGATAACATTGTGGTATTTCTTACAATTAATTAAAAATTTTTTTTTTCTTGCTTTATTTTAATTTTATTTTAAAATTAAGGTCAGGTTAGCCCGCTCGGCCGAGTGGCTGCTGGTCCGGCCACCGAGGATGCGTTGCCTGTGGATTGGCTCAATCGACCGAGTGGCTGCTGGTCCGGCCACCCGGGATGCGTATGGGTCTGGAGGATGTAAGTTTCGTGAAAGCGATGATGCATTTGCTTGCTATCTGTAAAAGATATAAAAACTTTTTGTTTTCTGTTTTATTTTCAGGTTTTGACTTTTGATGTGCGGAGAATTTGGTAAGTAGTTTGAGTTGTATTTTGGCTGAATTTAATTTTATTTTATTTGCAGGTTTATATTTTGTGGGTTTGGTGGTAAATTGTCGGCATTCAAGTTAAGTAATTTTTGTTTTTATATTTGTTGGCTTTTATTGAATATAATTATTTTATTTTCAAGTTGATTCCCTGGATGTTGTGTTGGGATGTCTTCTGGTTGCTTGCTTAGTTGCTGACGTTTTAAATTTTGTTTTATTTTCAGGTTTGCTGCAGATTGGGTAAGTGTTTTGAATTGTATTTTGGCTGAATTTAATTTTATTTTATTTGCAGGTTTTTATTTTATAGGTTTGGTGGTAAATTGTCGGCATTCAAGTTAAGTAATTTTTGTTTTTATATTTATTGGCTTTTATTGAATATAATTATTTTATTTTCAAGTTGATTCCCTGGATGTTGCGTTGGGATGTCTTCTGGCTGCTTGCTTAGTTGCTGACATATGTACATTTGTTATGTACATACAGTTAATTTCGTACACCATATGTGTTTTGTTTATTTAATTGGCAGGTTTTGTCTTCAGCTTTGTAATAATTTGTATGTACCTTTGTGTAGTTTATGTTGTTATATCTGTTGTCTTTTTTTTTTTTTTTGAGGACTTTATTTTTTTTATTTTCAGGTTTGCGGCAGATTTGGTAAGTGTTTTGAATTGTATTTTGACTGATTTTAAATTTTATTTTATTTGCAGGTTTATATTTTATAGGTTTGGTGGTAGATTGACGGCATTCAAGTTAAGTAATTTTTGTTTTTATATTTGTTGGCTTTTATTGAATATAATTATTTTATTTTCAAGTTGATTCCCTGGATGTTGTGTTGGGATGTCTTCTGGTTGCTTGCTTGGTTGCTGACGTTTTAAATTTTGTTTTATTTTCAAGTTTGCTGCAGATTTGGTAAGTGTTTTGAATTGTATTTTGGCTGAATTTAATTTTATTTTATTTGCAGGTTTATATTTTATAGGTTTGGTGGTAGATTGACGGCATTCAAGTTAAGTAATTTTTGTTTTTATATTTGTTGGCTTTTATTGAATATAATTATTTTATTTTCAAGTTGATTCCCTGGATGTTGTGTTGGGATATCTTCTGGTTGCTTGCTTGGTTGCTGACGTTTTAAATTTTGTTTTATTTTCAGGTTTGCTGCAGATTGGGTAAGTGTTTTGAATTGTATTTTGGCTGAATTTAATTTTATTTTATTTGCAGGTTTTTATTTTATAGGTTTGGTGGTAAATTGTCGGCATTCAAGTTAAGTAATTTTTGTTTTTATATTTATTGGCTTTTATTGAATATAATTATTTTATTTTCAAGTTGATTCCCTGGATGTTGCGTTGGGATGTCTTCTGGCTGCTTGCTTAGTTGCTGACATATGTACATTTGTTATGTACATACAGTTAATTTCGTACACCATATGTGTTTTGTTTATTTAATTGGCAGGTTTTGTCTTCAGCTTTGTAATAATTTGTATGTACCTTTGTGTAGTTTATGTTGTTATATCTGTTGTCTTTTTTTTTTTTGAGGACTTTATTTGTTTTATTTTCAGGTTTGCGGCAGATTTGGTAAGTGTTTTGAATTGTATTTTGGCTGAATTTAATTTTATTTTATTTGCAGGTTTATATTTTATAGGTTTGGTGGTAAATTGTCGGCATTCAAGTTAAGTAATTTTTTGTTTTTATATTTGTTGGCTTTTATTGAATATAATTATTTTATTTTCAAGTTGATTCCCTGGATGTTGTGTTGGGATGTCTTCTGGTTGCTTTCTTAGTTGCTGACATTTTAAATTTTGTTTTGTTATCAGGTTTGCTGCAGATTTGGTAAGCGTTTTGAGTTGTATTTTGGATAAATTTAATTTTATTTTATTTGCAGGTTTTTATTTTGTAGGTTTGGTGGTAAATTGTCGGCATTCCAGTTAAGTATTTTTTTTGTTTTTATATTTGTTGGCTTTTAATGAATATAATTATTTTATTTTCAAGTTAATTCACTGGGTGTTGCGTTGGGATGACTTCTGGCTGCTTACTTAGTTGCTGACATACATATGTAAATTTATTATGTACATACAGCTAATTTCGTACACCAATATGTGTTTTATTTATTTAATTGGCAGGTTTTGTCTTCAGCTTTGTAATAATTTGTATGTAATTTTGTGTAGTTTATGTTGTTATATTTGTTGGCTCTTTTTTTTTTTAGGACTTTGGTTGTTTTAGTTTCAGGTTTGCGGCAGATTTGGTAAGTGTTTTAAATTGTATTTTGGCTGAATTTAATTTTATTTTATTTACAGGTTTGGTAATAGAGTGTCATCAATCAAGTTAGGTAATTTATGTTGTTATATTTGTTGACTTTTAATGAGTATAGTGTTTTATTTTCAGGTTTAAAGAAAATTGGTGTGAAAAAGAAAAAGTGATTTCAATTGTTTTTACGCCAATTGTAATTTTATTTTATCTGCAGTTTTATTTTTTGCTGGTTTGGTGGTAAGGTGTCAGCATTCAAGGTAAGTAGTTTATTGTTATATTTGTTGGCTTTTGATGACTGATGTTTGTTTTATTTTCGCTGGCTGTTGCGCTTGATGTCTGCACCTTGTTTGCGTATTTACTGACATTGTTTGTTATGTAAATAGTTATTTTGTACGTATGTATGTATGTATGTATGTATGATAGATTTGGTGGGTAGTTTATTGGCTTTTAATGATTTTTTTTTTTTTTTTTTTAATGATTTTAACTTTATTTATTTACATTTCAGGTGGTAAGGTGTCAGTAATCAAGGACCAGCTTAGAATTTGTGGAGCAAAGTTGAGTGATTCCATGTATGACGTGAGGGGCCTTCGCCACATTTTGATGCAGCTTTATTCCAATGTAAATGGTTTTTGAAGCGTGTCTCTTCGAAGGGCTGTTGCTCCTGATGTCTACAAATTGTTTGAGTATTTATTTAAATTAATTTGTTATGTAAATAGTTATTTTATATTTTGTTTTGTTTTCAGGTTTTTCCAAAAAGTCGTGTTATCGTTTGCACAATGCCGATGGATCAACAATTAGCCAGGCGGCTGTATGATGCCTTCTTCTTCGTCCCCTTTATGGTCTGGCACAATGATCCTCTGGATTCCCAATGGTTGACCCCTTATTCTGTCCAGAATTACTTCTCTAGTGTATTTCCCTTGCGCGTACATTTTTCTGTAAACGTTGATCTGTAGCTCGCAGAATCTGTCCGGGGGTTTGTATGGTATTTTTTTGCGTTCAGCCTCTCTCTTGTCCATTTTATCCTTTTCTATTCTTTCCTGTTCCTCGTTTTCTAGCCTCAACAGAGTAGGAAGTCCTTTCCTCAGGATGGGTACATACTTCTCTACTATTACTTTACGCTCAGCTTCGGAATAGTATCGAGTCGGATCCAGATCTGGATTTGGTTGTTCCTGAGGTTGTCCGTTACTACGCGGGAGGATGAACTTCCGGAGTTGATTGTCGTATCTATGGCGGCTAGGTTTCAGTCTATCAGGAATATAGGGGTTTATCAACAATCTGGCCACTTCTGAGTTGGGATGATCTTTGAGTGAGTCGGCGAAACGGCCACTAGCCTTTACATACACCTCTTCGATCGTTTTGACATTATATATGCTTCTAATATTGTCATTTCTTGTGTATCTTGTGGCCCTAACTGACCTTCTCACTAATTTGTTTTGGAGTGTTTGAATCTTTTTTATTAGTGAGTCAGAAGCTAGAGCCCCCCAGACTGGAATAGCATAGTACCAAATTGGCATAATTAACTGTTTAAGAATGGTCACTTTGCAGTCCCTAGCAAGATGGCTTTTGTTTCCAATAATCCAGTCGAGTTTTATTGACGTAGATATTGTCTTGTTTATGATGGTTTTGACATGAGGGCTAAGGCTTAGTTTCCGATCAAGGACAACCCCCAGATACGTTTGTTTAAATTTGTTAGGAATTCTTTGACCATTTATTCTAGGCGTGCTTTCCTGCTGTGTTCTACTGAGACTATTTAATGTGAAAAATACGTGGGCTGTTTTCTTTTCATTGATGCCCATTTCCCATTTTTTTGCCCAAACACTGAACTTATTTAGGTATTGTTCGTTCATTTTCGCCGCAACCGAGGGGAAGTCCGCTATGCTCATAATAATTGTGTCATCTGCATACGTAGCCAACATTCTGTTTTTTTCTCTCAGCACCGGTATCTCAGTGGGGTGATAGCTTCTCATGCAGTTTGGGAGAGGAATATCCGATGAGTATATGCTGTATAAAAGAGGACCCAAATTGCTGCCCTGAGGAACTCCGGCTCTTATTTTTCCAGTTCTCGATGTTGTGCCATTGTTGGTAATCACTTCGAAAGTCCTATCATTTAAGTAGCTTTCCAGCAGCTTGAAGGCCTGTAGGGACACCAGTTTTGACAGCTTGTATAACAGTCCCGTATGCCATACTCTGTCGAACGCTTCTGATATGTCTATAAATACAGCTGAACAGTATTTCTTTTCTTCGTAGGCCCCCATAATGAACTGTGTAACTCTTGCTAACTGCTGTTCAGTGGCATGTTCTTTTCGAAACCCGAATTGGTGTGTGGGAAGGGCTCTAGAGAAGTCATCAAAATCGAAAAGTCGTTTGATGAAGAGTTTTTCGAAGGTTTTAGCCAGACCCGATAGGAGGCTTATTGGCCGATAGGATGCTACTGACTGAGCAGGCTTGTTTGGTTTAAGAATCAGAGCAATTGTGGCATGTTTCCAAGCTTGCGGGAAATGTCCTAGTCTCATAATTGAGTTAAAGATTAAAAGGATGTATAATAATGCTTTCTTTGGAAGTGCCTTAATTAACGCATTGTCAATTCTATCCTTACCCGGGGCTTTGTTCAATATTAGGTTTTTAATTTCGATTGTCAGTTCTGGGAGTGTAAATGGTCTGAGAGGACGTGTTTGTGCTGTGTTTGTTGCTGCATCCGTCAGCTTCTGTTTTTCCAAGTCTAGGTCATTTTGTGTCGATTCACGTTCTTTTTCTGAGCTTGTATGTCTGGGTTTGAAACGTTCTTCTAAGTGTGAGACAAAGACCTCGGCTTTTTCTTCATTGCTTTTAGTCCAT